TATTAGTTTTGTTCAAGAACGAGTTCATAGCGGTTGTCACATGATACCAGAGTAAAGTTTATTCGAAACAAGTCATTTCTAAATGAGTTTATTGGGGTTTTCATGCCAGAACGAAACATTCATTTTTGTACCTGTATAATATAAAAGCGGTACAACTCTTATATCTGTATGAATCCTCTTTAGGAGCGAGGGAAGCATAGAAAAAGACAAGAAAGGAAATAAAAAATTGTTTTTACAGGGTAAATTATCTTGCATGTAAAACACGGTATGAAATCCATTTCGTTCCGGAACGAAACTCATTTTGGAATTATGTAAAAGGCATCTTAGGGACGGAACATTAGATTTTTGGGATGGGGGTCGACTGAGGTAGATCAAAATTTTTTTTTCACTGGTGGGCAAATCTTTGTTTTTAGGCGCTGACCGTGGGGGAGAAGACGATCGGAAATGGGTAAGGATGCTTGTCGCACCTTTTAGGGGTCAAAAAAACTAGAGACCCAGCTGGTACGTTTTGGGGTGTTTTTCGCTCAATATCACACTTGAAATAAGCATTACTCAGACGATTTTAATGAACTGACTTGAGCCTCGAGAGCACATCGATCAAGGAATTTTTATTTTTGGGATTTTTCAATTTTTTTTCTTTTGAATAGGTACGTTTTATGGGTAGACATCAATTGTTGCCACTTCCACACAGATAAGACTCAGGTACCTTTGCTAATTTTTATTGGGGTCGTTTTCGAAATTCCCGGCGCGCACCCCGCCCTCTTATGTAAATGTGTCCCCCGACATCAGTGTAGAAAACTCCGCCTCTGTCTGGATATTTGGTAGCCTATTGACCAATTCCCAATCGAGACTTAAGTCTGACGGGACGCGTAATTTTACTCATGGTGGTAAGTAGCTTTACGCAAGTAACCGGAGCCAGGCTGTATGAATTTTCCAGACATTTTGAGTACTACCTGTGATACACGCTTACTAACTCCCTTATCGGCTTTTGGAATCAACTTAACCTTACCACTGCGATGGCCGGACACCTCTTTAGGCACTCTACATCTGCTATTGGAACCACAACTCTACCCAACATCTATGTGTGGGGCAAATTGTAAAATCATCGATATCTGTTGGCGTCTCAAAGATGCCGGCAAGCGACAAAATAAGATCAACTTCATTTTCTGGATCTGAAAACTTGCAACTCCGCAAATGACTTGAAATGTTTTTTTTACAACTATGCAAGGGAACGAATTGAGATATGCAACTTCGTTCTTCTCGATAACTAAACCCACAAGTTCCACCAGCGAACGATTTAAATGAACAGCAAATCTCCATGTTAGCACGTAAGATGAGACGCTAACACAACAGATAATTACCAAAATCAGTATGTAGCTTGTCAACCAAATTGACTTTTGTAACCATTCTTTGACTACGGCCGGCAAAGGAATCACTGATGGATCTTTAGTTTTCTAAATGCAGTAGTTCCTGAAAGGTTTTTCTAGGTATCATGCAAAGAGGGAAAAAACCCATCTCTTGTTATTTCGGAGATTGATACATCTTTGAATTTATATGTGTCCCTCTTGTCATACAACTGATGTAATAAGATGGAGAAGATATAAAAACTGGAACTCAAATCTGGCTAGAATGTGGTAGAGGGGTGTGGACAAAATTTGGGGTGTGGCCTACCCTGTGGCCTACCCTATGGCCTACCGGTGGTCAGAATTTTAAAAACATAAAGATGAAATCAGTAAGAGTCGAACGAGTACGCTGGCGTACAATTCTATGCCCCTAAAAAGGATATATTAAAAAGTCACTAACACGTTTTCAACGTCCGAGGGAACGAAACAATGCAATATTACAGCACTCAGTCTTGATACATCCTAACTCTGTGTTCCCCACACAAGCACTCAACCATAATGGTAGGTTAAGGGGGAGGGGAGAGGAGGGGCCAATATTGCGTGGTCGCTGAGGATATCCAAAATGGCGGCTTCACGATCCAGGACAAGCGACTAAATACAGGAATGGCTCCGACCTGTAATTGGATGATAAAAATAGTAAAAGTTAATAAGTTATATCTTAACTCTTTGCCCGTGAGTATTGTTAACCGCGTGTCTCAAAGCGGAACAATGAAATATCAATGCGAGTGAAAACACCGATCTGTAAAAAAAGAAATTATTACTTACGTAGCGAAGGGAAGGCAGCCTTTCTTATTCAGCGAGGTCGTTCGGCGATATTCCAGCGATGAAAAAGTCATCGGCTAACAAGCTCCGCTGACAAAACTCATTTGGTCAGTTCAGGCGGACGACCAGAGACTGGAGCCATTCCTGTATTTCACCGCTAACAGGAATAGCTCCGACTCAAACGTTTATTAATTTTTTTTCAATAACTTTTTAGTAATTTTTAAAAAAAAAATTTTAAAAATTTAAAACTAAAATGGTGAGCAGTGCTGTACGAACAGTAGTTGTAAAACTTCTTTATTCTCTGACGCGTTTCGTCTAACTCTCGTAACTTCTTCGTGGAGTTTTACGAGGTAACACTAAACGCGTATAGTTATAAACCATTGTTAGCAGCTATGACCAGTGACCATAAGGGCTTACCTGGACCTACGAGCAGGAATAGGCAAAGTTGTGAAAATTTGAAAATTTCTTTTGAAAATTTATTAGGCAAGATGAGAAATATTTTTTGGGAGCCGCGGTTTTAGCTGAAAATTTTCAAATTTGAAAAAATTGAAGAGGTTTTTACAGATGATGCCTGGAAAGCAGTTGGCAAATTAGGTTAGGATGGCTCGTACAGAAAATGTAGTTTATGGTCCACTCATTCTTTCTTAAATTTAAGTGGTATAAATACCTTGTCTAAAACAGTAGTGTGATACGATAACTAATGAGATATACTCGTTCCAATACTATGTCATGTGATGAACAGCCTTCATTAATTTTGGAACATGTTTTATAAAATCATTTTACTCTTTCTTGTTATAGCCAAAAACTGTTCGAAGATTGGTTGTGCTATCACTGCAAACAGTCAAGGTACTTCGATATGATTCAGTGCGAGGGCTACTGCCACTGGTTTAACTGGTAAGACACTTTTTTTGTTTCGTTTTGTTTTTTTCCTTTTTCAGTTCTAGTGGAGTTGTTAGAAATTACCAAGCAAAATTAATCCGCGACTTTCTTCCTTTGGGTGTTGTGCAAAAATAGATCAAGAACCCGATGAATGGGTTTGTCCTTCATGTGAACAATTACCTAGAAAATCCGTTTCCACGAAAAAAATTTCCTCGATTGCGGGCAAGCCATACTTCTCCAGTAGAGCATACTGTAAATTAAAAACATCGGTGGCAGCGTCATGCAACCTTGTGTGATCTTTCAAACATGGTATGCAGTTGCTGCATTATTTTAAAACTTAGAAACTACATGGCCCTGTAGAAATAAAAGAGGGCTTCATTTGCAAGCACTGTAGACTTCAACATAAGAAGAACCTAATAAATAGCTCTTTCACTTTTTATCTGTATATAAATTATTTAGCCAGAACCAAAAAATTAATATACGCATGAGTTGGAGCCATTCCTGTCAGCGGTGAAATACAGGAATGGCTCCAGTCTCTGGTCGTCCGCCTAGATAGACTAAATTAGTTTTGTCAGCGGAAATTGGCAACGGATGACTTTTTCATCGCCGGAATATCGCTGAACGACCTAGCTGAAGAAGATAGACTCTGCCTTATCTTCGCTATGTAAGTAGCCATTTCTTGTTTGACACGTCGGTGTTTTCGAATCGATATTTCATTGTTCCGCTTCGGTACACGCGGTTAACAATACTCACGTGCAAGGAGTTAAGATATAACTTATGAACTTTTACTATTTTTATCATCCAATCATAGGTCGGAGCCATTCCTGTATTTAGTCGCTTGTCGATCCAGGCTATCAGCTGGTAACATATAGTGGAGTGCTAGTGTAAAAATGTAATGAGCGGCGTTATATCGGGAAACAAATCCAGGTGAGAAAACGCAAATAGTACGTGCCGGGCCAATTTTTTAAGTGCCTCTTTAGTACTGTAGAGTATTGAATTTGCAACAAGCACCCCGGGACACGCAGGCATCACCGTCATAAACATTTCACAAACTTTACTCGCTTTTCCTACTGAAGTGTGGTAGTATAACAATACAATTGGTGTATTAAGCTGTTCTCTGTGCAACAGGAAGTTCATTTGGGATACTATATTGCATGACATTGTGTCGAAAAGATATAACACACAGAGCAATTCACAAATTTAACAATCTTCAATATTTTTTCTCTTCTTATAGCTCAAAATGAACGTCCTAAAGTTAGTTAATTAATAAATTATTGGCTTATTCCTCAAAAAAAAAAAGAGAGGTGACAGAACACAGACTGACAATTGGTTTGAGCCATGAATATTTTCAACTTGACTGTCGATGTCACTGTATTTTATGCTGGTAATAATCTTTAACTGTAACTAAAGCATAGATAATGCTAATCATCCTTACTTATACAAAGAATATTTACACAGGTAAACGCAAATTTTGAGTCATTTAAGCAATTTACCTTTCTAATGGCTTGTCTAGTAAAAAACAGGTGACATAGGGACTTCTAAACACTGTTTGCCACGTTTTCTGATTGTATTGTATTGATGACCGGACTAGAGGGGAGGGAGGGGTTAAGTTCTTCATGCTTTGGTGAATATCTAAAAAATCTACGAACTTCTGGGAATATGAAAATATCTACATGTACCACAACTATTGTTGGGGGGAATTAGATTTCATCACTGCGAGTACTTTTAGCTTTTAAGCATTTCCTCTCGTGATTTAATAGTTATTCTTATTATGAAATTTAAACTGGAAACTAGCCTTGTAAATGAACTCCATTAAAAATAGGGCTCACAAGGTTTCAAAACTTTTGTCTTACATTTTTTATACTAGTTTGAACAGTGCAATCAAGTGGAACGGTTTCACAATAAATGAGACAGTTGCAACTCTTGTCACCCCACGAAAGTCTATGCTTTAAAGTATTAACATGAAAGGCTACTCAACCTATCCTTAAGGAAACTGAGTTGAGAGGCAGAGAGAGTGTAAGAGATACACATCTGAACATGTGTAAAGTCAAAGCCAGGATCCCGTCCTACTAAGCAATTGCGATACACATAAAAATGCTTGTTCTCAAATGTCTTCTGATAATAATAATAATAATAATAATAATAATAACTTTATTTAAGTGTCAGTGTATTTTAGCACTGCTGTGCTAATTGGGGACACTGTAAATAAGGAAACTTGAAGCGTGCAGGAGTTGAATTCGGGGCCACCGAAGACAAATCCATCCAGTGGAGGACTTGAACCCGGGACCTCCGGCTTACAAGTGCAGCGCCCTAACCACTAGGCCACGCTCGCCTCCTTGTGCTTTACAATTCAAACATAATCATGCTCTTTGTGGCAGACATAGAACAGCTCGTCCAAGTCATCCTTGGTGTACTCATCAGGGCCTTCCTTCAAATCTCCTCCACAGCCTGCACACTTGCGTACTCTCCTTTTGATTTCGATTAACTCGAAGGGCGTGGTTGTTGTGGGACTAACAGAAGGCTTTGGAGGTCTGCTCTTCCTTATGGTCAAGCGCAAATCTGATGTGGCAACAGCTGAGTATTCTTGTGTAGTAACTGTGTTGGCCAGAGCATCATCGAGTGTGTTCTTACACGATGCCATTGTTTTCATCGCATCAGGCGACTTCTTGCATTGATGGGATTTTTCTTTCCTGCTGCTTTGTTAACGGAAAATGTTGTCAACGCCGCGAGATTGTCTTGGTTACGTCTTATGTTCTTGAACCAAGAAACAAACTGCTTTAAGTTGCTGCTGTAATGAGCCACAGCCACGGCATGTGCACATATTTTCCGCGAAACAAATCCTAGGCATTCTTTGTCGCATGAGTAACCAGCTCCATCTCGAGATCCTGTCACCCTTTTGACCACGTGTGGCTGAGATGTAGAAGTACTCTTGACAAAGTATGTGTCATCGTCAAAGCCTTTCCGAATTGCATCGTCACTTTGAAGCTTGCTTGCCTTGTCTGCAAGTGCTTTGATATCTTTCCCAATACAAGTATCAAGGAGATTCTCAAGGTATTCTGTTATCGAACATCCATCTGCCTGGCTGTTTTGATGGCATTGGTTTCGGTACCTGTCCTTCCTCGTCTCCACAACTTGAGGTGTTAGTTTGCATTTTCTTTGTTTCTTCTCCTTCCTCGAATACACCAAGGGGCAACATTGGGGTTGTGTGATAGTTAATAACCTGCTTATACCTCACTGGGTGAACAATAACCTTCACTGAATTGATGATGTTTCCACGCTCCTTTGGAGTGGTATACAAGATCTCGCATAATTACACGTGATCTTGATATTCTGGTCGTACGATGTAAAGACTATGGAGACCCAGGAAAGCTCTCTGTACGTCGCTTCTTTGTTTTTTAACCAACTCCTTGACATCATCGACAAAAGTACTCATGTCCTTCGATTCAAAATTTTGCCAGTGCTTCATTACTGCATAGCCAGATTCAGAGACATTGTTACACCGCACCTCGTCACCAAATTCTGCATCATTTGACACTTTCGCACTTACGTGGTTCCCAATTTTGTCTGCTTTGCACTTGAGAAAATATGATGAAAATCGCGGCTCTCTTCTCATATCTGCCAGCTCAGTGTTGTCCCACTTCTGTTTCAGTTCCTCCAGCTTGCTTCTGTAGAGACGTTCATTGGAAACATACACAAGGGCTTCAGAGCCAAAGATGTCATTAACAATGACATCGGTGACTGCCTGGGAAATCTGTAATTTGGAACATTTATCTTGAATGTTTTCCTTGACGTGATTCTAACGAAGAAATGCAACAGACCTCTCCAACTCTTGTCCCAAAGCTTGGCGTAGTGGCTTCTCTCCATCAGTGGAATATGCTTGTAGAAAGACTTTTAATCCGGGCATCTTAGCTGTCATCTTCTGGAATAACGTAACATAGGTGGCTTTGTCCCTCAACATACACAGCATTACAGGCCCTAATAGAATTGGACATTCATTCAGTATGTGCTAACTGTTCGTCGGCAAACAACATAACCTTTGGAGAATTGTCATCTAATAGCATGCCCGAATGAATTTTCTCCTGTTTGTGACTGTTCTTTCATCTTTTCAGTGATTTGAAAAATAGGATCCTTTACAGCTTTGCGTGGCTGACTCTCAACTTTCAAATACTTGACTTGTATTTCACTGCGAGGTAACTGACCACCAGATTTGCACTTTTTAAGGCCCCCGACGTCCTCTTCCACCTGGTAAACAACTCTCTTCAATCCAGCTTTATTTCTGCTTACAGCACCCATCATCTTTGTCTCTGTGCTCCCGTACGTTCTGAGGTAAGGTATGGAACTAGTCGTGGCATTTCCATGAGCCTTTAACTTTATCCGGTGCTCTGACGCTCCCTCGAAGTAGAAACGTACAAACTCCACATTGTGGTGTTGAGAATCGGGTAGAACGACGTTCGCGATGGTCTTTCGAAGGGAATTATCACTTTTGTTGATAAATGTTTTTCGACAGACACAATGTCCATCTTCGCGGTGTTCAGGAACCTTTGTAACCTTGGTGACAAGACCGTCATTCCAAGCTAAGAGGTACTTTTTCGTTGCTGTCTTACTCTGTTCTCAGGAACCAAGATCATCCGAAAGTAAATCCTCTGGTTGCTGAAGGTGATCAAGATCCACAAGAAAGGAAGCATTATTTCGACACGAATTGGGTGCGTTTTAGCAATCAATTCCAGATGGGAATTTCTTGCATTCATAACAAAAGGTATAATTCCGTTATTGCTGAAGTCATCAAGAATCGCCAATGGCACTATCAGAAGTACCACGTTTCCTATGTAGTGTTTAGGAACTTCTCGTTCATCATCTGAGCTTAAATCAGAAAGTGATGAACGACGGGCATATCTGTAGAATGATGAAGACCAAAGCTATGTAGCCCTATCCTGCCTTGGGTGGGGTGGAGGGCACCATGTGTAACTTAAAAACTATTCGTGTAGGTAATAACATAGGACCGGATAAAATTAAGGAAATTAATATCACGTCTGTTTTCAGAAACTTACAAATTCTGAAGATACAAGAAAACAACTGATTACTTGTAAATATCATAAAAAGTAAACTTAGTGTGGCAGTCATAGGGTGGTCTTCGGCAATCTTCAGAAGACTATCGGAAATATTTGGCGACCTCCCGTAATCGTCGAAAATCTTCGTAATTTCTCAAGTCACCTTCGGAAATCTTCGGGTTTTTTCGGAACTTTTTTTGAAATGCTTCTGGTCACCTACAAAAAAATCGCCGGTAGCGTTCTGGTAAACTTTGGAATCTTTGAAGGTCCTTGGGTAATCTATGCAGTTTCTGCCCCCCACCCTGCCCCCCTAAGTAGAGCAGGCCCCTGATGCAATCCCAACATGACGAAAACGCTCACAGAAAAAGTTTCATTAAGCAGGATAAAAACATACCCCTGAGGAGTTTGTCTGGTATATCAGTGATGGGGATGTGCAAATAAGGCCAAATTGTTAGACCCAAAATAAGTCCTACTAGGCTAGACCCTAACCCAAAAATAGTATAAAGGCCCAGAACGTTATTTCAAGGAGGTTCCACTAAAAAAATGTAAATGAAACTGATGCGATCGTTTGTCATAAAAATGAGAATCCTGGGTTTGCTTTTTGTCAAACCCCTCCCTCACTCCCTCCCCCCAAAAAAAATCCATTCCAAAATCTCTGATCTCACTGGTTATTAAAATTTTCCTCACTCTTTCACGCATTGATGCTAGTGAAGAGAGAGGGCCAGTACTGCACTAGTTTGAAAGGAGAGCTGATATGATGATGTTTGCCCAAAAGTTTCGTTTAACCGGCTTCTGTTCCCCGATTTCCTTGTTCTATCAGAAGGTTAAGAAATTTGGATCTGAATGTGGCCGCCAAAACAGCAGAAAAAAGTCGTTGGTCAGACAGTCCCCAGGAAAACGCCGAAAGGTTTGCAGCAATGCTATGCTTTTAAAAGTCTGACCACTGGTAGGCCATAGGGTAGGCCATAGGGTAGGCTACACGTTTTGTCCACACCCGTGGTAGAGCATAACGTGATCATCGAAACAGCTCATAAAATCATAAATAAACAAGGTAACAGTGATACGTTAGATTTTTTACAAATTTTTAGTGATTTATGCCGGTAAACGGTGGCGACAAGTAGGCACACCATGTATATTACATAGTCGCTAACAAGTAAATTTTGCCGGACTTTGGGTTCGTTTCAAGATAGAACAACACAAATGCACAAGGAAATTTTTACAGTAACTTTTTAACCATCTTTTTGTCTTTTAAAGGTTGGAGCACAGTAGATTCTGCCATATCGATCATTGTTAAAACTGTCTTTGTTTTGATGCTACTATTTGACGTAAGAAAGGTATGTCGGACAAAAATATTCACCAAAAAATAAAGATTACTTTGCAAGCTTCCATAATGACAGGGGATTAAGTTTAGATAATGAAACAAATGATTATGTTGACAGAAATACCGGAGATCAAGTATATTCGCTACATGAGGTCACACAACTCGGGTAATATTCACGGTGAAAATTTGCATATTTGAGCAGTCGAAAGAAAAAATCATTTCTCGAAAAGTAAAGTATATTTTCACAAAAAACCACACCACAATAATAAGGACAAATTGAGCTAAAAAATATGAAAGTAGAAGTGAAAGCAAATTCTGGGTGACTTGCCGCTGTTTGTCTGATGCATGCTGACATTAGCTCTTAACGTGATACAACATTCATAGATGAATTGGTTTACAGAATGGTTATCTCTGCTCTTACCACACCTTGTTGTGTTATTAGAGCTGAGAATAATTTTTCTTATTGACAAAGGATAGGAAAGTCTTTGAAATCACAGCAAACTTCTCTTGAGATTTCGTGCATCGGGGATTCACGTCTAGGGCTGTAGAGATCTCTTATTTCCGCTCTCCGAACAGCAATACCAAAATTGCAGATTTTTTGGTACTCGTATCCCGGGTGCAATTTCAATGGTTCCCAGTAGTGCTTGTTGCTATATTTAAATAAATACCTTAGGTATTAGATAATCTGTATTTCTTTGTTAGCACACCCTTGAAGGCAGTTGTGTGATCATCATTAATTAATATGGTATATAATTAAGTTAATAGTTTTCCAATAAAGCAGTTAGGTAGAGCATTTATTCAGATTTGCGCTCTACTCTATAGTAGTATATCCAACTCTAGTACTGGCAAAGAGGATGGCCATTCTTAGAACAATTAAGTCCTCGCACTTCGGTTCAAAAGACTGGAATGGAAAAGCATTTTTCGAATGATTTTATCAATAATTGATCGCTAACTACACCAAAGTTTTTAAACCACGCAAAGTTATGTTTGCTTTAAAAGGAGCCATTGAGCAAGAATTAGACTGCTTAGCATATGTAAGAGTAATTGGAAAGGTATACAGCATTCTTACGTGCCATATCCATGAATAGTTGATTTTTGGGGGTGAGAAAATTTGTCCCGTTAGGAATTTGTCTTCTGGTCGAGAGTAGTGGGTAATTGGAAAAATATCTGAGGAAATGCCTCTACCTCAGTGAGATAGAGGCATTTCCTTTCTTTCCTTCCCTTTAGCCTCGTATTTTTGCTCCCTGTAATGATAGCATTTTCCATTGCAGTGTTTATTAGGCAAGGAAGGAGTTTCAGGTATTTCTTTTACCCTAGCAAAAAGTCTTAAAGCGGGCTCAATGCCTTTTTGTCATAGTGGATCTTTGCTAGGTTTCTCCTTTCTGCAATACTTCCAATCATACAATATGTCCAATCACAAGGCTACTCGTTGACCAGCGGCCGTTTGAACAACGTCCTTAAGGTCACCAGACATCAGACACTGGGCTGGTGAATACTGGTATCCCTGTTGGGAAGGTTTCCTCATGCCAAAGAGTCAAAAGTCAAGCCAGGTACTGGTCCTCTGAACCAACAAGTGCCTGTGCGAATCAAAAATAAAATGATTGTAAAATTATAAAACGTAAACTTAATCCTGCAGAAAACTTATAGCCTCTATCAAGATAAAGAGAAGGCTCATTAATCATGAGGGCCTAGACAGAGTGCCCACATTTCTAAAATTAGGCCACGATTCAGATTACTTGACATTTCAACATTGCAAACAAAATAACCCGATAATTTATCGCTGTTTAACGCTTTGACCCTTACGAGTAACAGGTATCGAATTTCTCCTTACGATGTTGTCACTGAATCACACAGTAAGGTGACAAGAAGAAAGGAAATAATGGAAATAGATAAAAGCATCTTTGGAAATGTATAGAGAACAGTAAGGAGAATATGTAAACTGATGTTAGGGTGTGAAGGGTTAAATCACATATTACATAAGAGCACATATTGTCACCTGTCACCTATGATTGCAACAAATGGGACAGAAGAATAAAGTTAGTATTTGTGCCACTGCTTTTACATGTCTACCAAAAAATCAAAAACAACAATTACTCTTGTAGATAGGTTACTATTCTCTAACCTTTTTAGATGCAAAATCTCCCTTTAATATTGTTTAGAGCAGCGTGTGAAGCTGATGGTGCCAATAATCAATCAAAAAGTATTATAGTTTGTCTTATTAGGTGCTCACTTCCAAAAATAATTGCAACATTTCGACCAGACACTCAGAGCAAGAAAAATACCTCATCAAACTCACTTGTCCCTACTTGGACAAGTGCATTATTTATTTTACATGTATGGACCATAAGCTCACTTGACCAAAGGAAGAAGAATATGAAGCTTCATATCTTTTCAAGTACTTCTCAGCATCTCGCTTAGAAAGCTTCTCGACTTGATCCTAGGTGATCCTCTGCTTTTCCACTTGCAACGAGAACAGCAAGTTGCTCTTGATGTTCCGCCGCTCTGCGACCTGGCCGCTTAAATCACTTGCAGGTTAAACCTGGAGAATGTTCAGAACATCATTTACAGGGTCCTTTTTACTAATGTCCATTTTATAAATTTAATTTCAAAACTTAAACTAAATGCATGGCGAGGTGAGAATATGAGATGTGAATATTTTTCTCTCTTTAGTTTTGCTATCAGTTCCTTCTGCTCCTCTTTTATCAACTCACCAGCATAATCCTCGAAAATGATCGTCGTATCCTTAGCAGATGGTGTGTAAAAGATAACTAATGCAACAGGGTTCTCTCTGAATGGTTTTGCAATGCTTGTCATTTGTTGCATGAGGACCCAAACGCTGATTCTCATATGTCTTCCCCTGAATGCCAAATTCACGAGTTTATTTGTCCTCCGCTTCACATCTCTCGAAGCAGCACAATCATCAAAAATGATCAGTGTATTTGTTCCCTTGTAGACATCAATAATAATCTTGAGGCAATCATCAATCCAACCCTGGAGTGGAGTCAGGACAAGTAAGTCCTTATCATTTTCTGTCGAGCCATCACACGTCTCGTTGTGGATGAATGTTGGACAGAGGAGAATGACGTAATCAAACTTTTCGTAAAAGGTGGTGCTCAAGAAATTTCCCAGATACCTCGTCTTTCCTGGTTTCGTTGGCCCAACTGTTAATGCTTTGAATGAAAAATTATCATGATTCATAATTTTTA